GCGCCGGCCGCCGCTATCGCTGATGTCCTGCACGAAGAAACAGGCTCTTGGATTGCTGCTCATGGGGGATGGGTTAGATTCTATACTTATCTATCTTCCTACTAATCAAACGATACCAATTAGTACAGACTCTGATTGATATTTCTATAAGTTGCAGAACTCTCAAACGGCTGCTAGTTACGTGTTGACAACAATATACTAACAGTAAATAATGTCATGTCTTTCTCTTTCAGAATGGTCTAATAGAACGATTACGTGTGAGCGACCGCGACCAACGATCCGAGAAGACCCTGCGTGTTATGGTGTCGTTCTTCATAACAGCATGTCTGTTGTTACTGCTCCTCAGATGGGCCAACACCCTGTTGTCCTCGCCCAGAGACTATATCGTCGATGACATTTAATTGAGTTTGTGATAAGTGTTATAAAATATAAATAAATATATTTTTTATAAATGTATATGTTACTACAAGTTATTACGCTTAATGATTACTAATAAATATTGTAAATGCCATCAATGTATTGTCATTAGTATGACTAGTTTATAGGACGGTATATTATAAAATTAAATTCACATTGCTTGTACCGATTGTAAATGTTTTTATCTTTTTGTTGTTAGGCTCGTTTAGCTGTATTCGATATGTTTTTTACTTAATTTATTCTGCATTCTAGAAATTGCGAAGTTTCAGAATAACAAGCTAAAAGTTGGTCTAAATCTGCATCAGAGATATTACATTTAAATACGTTACCATAGACCTCAAAATACGTTTATCTATTAATCATATGAAAACCTTCACATGCAAGTGGTACTGACACACATATTTGTTATTCAAATTCAGCTTCGCAAGAACTTATACATTCTCATCTTTAGTGTAAGGTAATGAAATTTTATGTTAATAAAAACAGTATGGAAATAAAGGATACTTTGCTAAGCCTTGCTGAATATCAATACTTATAAATGTTCATAACTGGAACACGTAACTAATATCATAAAAATTACAAAGGGTGAAACTATAATCAAATAGATAAGGTATTAACATACGTGTATGTGCCTTAGTTTAGATTTAAAGGTGATAGAATAAACTATCTCTGCACCAATTTTAATTTTTCGTGCAAATCTGTTGACTTTATTATTTAGGTAACAGGTTTTTAAAAACTGTTTGATTGACATTAAAAAATAAACTGTTTTATTTCATTTTTATTCTCATTATATTGTCCTAAGTCCTTCCAATGCTATTCATTATAATGAAAAACCTATATGTGGAGCAGTTCATCGTTAGAGATTACAACACGTGGACTTCGAAGACCTGTGTGGATCTCGCATCAATGGGGGCTAAGATCAAGCGACGAAAATAAAGAAGCTCAATAAAAACCAAAACATTTTGGATTGGCTTAATGCTGTGTTGTTCATCTGTTAAAATAATAAATAAAATAAATGAAATTGAACCGTGATAATTTGTGCCTACCTCACTAACCATAAACAATTTAGACGAATCTTAAAATGTAGATATAAATAAGTAACTAAAGAACTTTTAAAACTGTACCTTTCATGTTTTTATTGTTAAAACATTTACTTAAATTAATGACTGAAAGTAGTTTTGTTAATATCGTATTTGTTTTTTATAGTCTGTGCACCAAAACCTGTTTTAATTTTCCATTAAGTTAATCTGTGGACTGAAATGAAGTGAAACAATTGAAAGAAATAGACATGTTAAAACGGATAATTAATCCATTTTAATAATTTAGCAGACAATTATTTTTACTGAAAGTGTGTTAAATTGATTATTCACACGTGAGTTGCATTATAAACCTGATAAAAATGTACATGCTGTTAAAATTAAATAAAAAAGAAACGTCATATTTTGTAGCGCTGTTGCCATTGCAATGAGAGCGACAGAGAGATCCTGATATTTTATTTGTCACTTCGTTTCGCATTCTCTAATTCCCAATCCCACTTTTCAACAATCCACATATTTATTATTGGATAAAGATTATTTGTGTTAATCAAGTAAATAAATGCTAACGGTAAAGATTCGGAATCTATCTCCTCTTATTACATTAGATCAGTTGCCCACAATTGTGTTTTCAGATGTGAGAGTAACAATGAAGTGTTATTGTAAATGAAAAGCAAAGAAGAGTTGAATTATAGGTACCTTGTCAGTTAAAAATATAAGCAGTGAGCATGTTAAAAAATACATTACCGAAGGATAAACCGGGCAAGATGAGGATCAGGGCCTTTCCTGTGAGTACACTCATATTTACCATCAACATTTTTGTGCATTGTAAATAACATTTTAAAATATAGCAATTGATGGCTACTTTTGTTTGATTAAAAGACTCATTACCATTACATGCTTATTTATATATTTAGGGGTGCATTTATAATTACCTTATTTTCCCCTAAAGATGACTTCTTTTTAATAAGAGTTAGGTTTATATGTCATCTAATTATTCTACGAGTATTTAAAAAAAATCACTTACTAAATCACATATACATTTTTTTGCATAGGGAGACAATATATTTTGTACCAGATTGGCAGTGAAAACTCTCCAATGTTTCTCCCTCATGGTACAATTATCTTATCATGAATGTGAATGTTTAGATGAATGGATGGATAGGTGTTGTACCAAAGTATCACCAGACTGTCTGCATAGATGTGGAAGAATTGGTATTTATATAGAGCATAGTCTGTCATAACACATAGGCTCCTGACTTGATTTTATTTTAATTTCCCTCAGACAGAGTCCAGGCAAAAGCTAGTATATAATGTGAACATTAATCAATACATCACACCACTAGATAGTGCTTAATTTTGTTAATAACCAAATTATCTGACTATCAACCAAATATTCAAATGACATTTTAATATGTAACAGCATGTTAATGATAAGGCCATGCTTCTAGACCTACAAGTTATCTAAAAGGATGGATAAAAGTGAAACTACATTAATACAGCTCTAGCACTCTCCCTTGTTGCCATTTTCTATATCCATGTAGGTTTTACATTTAATTGTTAACAAAACCAATTTATAGCTGCACCTCTCACCAAGTTATACATCCTTATCTGACTATCACAGTACACATAGTCCCATTTTAATGTGCCTTGTTGGTAGATGAGCTACATAAGTAGCCTATTTATGTAAATTGCATTGTGGCCTATAATTTATACCTTATATAAAACTACCCAGATTTATACAATAAATTAAATGTAATTGGGCATATTCAAGTTCTTCCTTAGGCTAAAGTATTGTTTTATAATTGTACATGTAAATTGGTGTAAATCTATACTTCTATACTAATGTTATAAAGAGGAAAGATTTGTATTTTTGTATTTATCAACTCTAAAACTATGGGGCCAATTTCAAACATTCTTACACAAATAAATAGCTGTTATCGCAAATTGACATAGGTTATATTTATGACAATTTTTATTTCTGAGTAGACGAAACCGCAAGCTAGTATACAATGTAGATTAAAAATATATTTTTTTGATTCATTCATTTATTTGCACTTATTTGAACAATTTATCACTGTCACCTTTGACATAAAAATTCAAAAAAGGAAAACAACATTTGTAAGCCACAACAAAATTTTTGTGTTCAATATGTCACAATCATAATAATTTTTGACAACAGTGGAAATCCAAACATTCTATAAAATAGTATTTGTTATATCAATGTTTGTATTTGCAACTAGTTATTTATACAATTTTGCATAACATTTAGTAAGTAACACAAAATGACAAGAAAATTTCAAGTGTGGAACTATTCTGAACCATATTACCAAATGTATCCAGATACATGGGTGGGTATTTTGTAATTAAATAAGAATATTAATATAGTTCTATGTAAAACAACAACCTCTTTCCATCAGAATACTCATAATTTTTAGTATTTGTGCATGATGTATGTTATCAAAGTAAATACTTTGTAGATATTACACTGTATGCTTTTTCAGATGACAATGGATGAGAAGTATGTGGAAAGTATATGGAGCTTACTAAAGAATGCAATACAGGAAATACAGAAGAAAAATAATTCTGGACTATCATTTGAGGAGCTGTATCGTAATGCCTATACTATGGTCCTCCACAAGCATGGGGAAAGGTTGTATACAGGCCTGAAGGAGGTTGTAACTCATCATCTCGAAAATAAGGTATGTGTAATTTGTGTTAATTGTTTTACAATTTTATAACTGTCTTACAAATGTTACTGTGTGATGGAGTTTGAAATATTAGAGTAATTTTCTTATTCCTAATTCAAGTTTTTTAACAATGTACCAAGTACATTTTTTTAATTGGAACATTTTGTTTACCTTTAGTGAATCTGTCAGTTATCAATCTTTTGTAAGATTAAACCACATTATAAGGTTTTATTCTAGGTACGGGAAGATGTATTGCACTCCCTACACAATGGGTTCTTGCAGACCTTGAACTATGCCTGGACGGACCATCAAACTAGTATGGTAATGATCCGGGACATACTTATGTATATGGACAGGGTATATGTGCAGCAAAACGATGTTGATAATGTTTACAATCTTGGACTCATCATCTTCAGGGATCAGGTATGTTCATCAATTATTATAATATGTGATTAATATTATATTCCGTCTTTTTCAATAGCAATAATATTTTTGCTATTGTAAACCAATATTTTTAATGTGTTTTTTTGTCATGTGGTAGGCCATATTGTTCTTGTGAAGTTTGTCAAAGATGTTGTGTGTGTGAAGGTGGTGCGGTACGGGTGCATCCGCGACCACCTGCGGCAGACACTGCTGGAGCTGGTGGCGCGCGAGCGGCGCGGCGAGGTGGTGGACCGGCTGGCCATCCGCAACGCCTGCCAGATGCTCATGGTGCTCGGCATCAACTCGCGCGCCGTTTACGAGGAGGACTTCGAGAAGCCCTTCCTCCACCAGTCGGCAGAGTTTTATAGAGTAAGATCTCTTGTTCGTGTTCATAATGGACACAATCACCTCTCGTCGTCCTGTGCGGAAATGACTAATGGATGATAAAATGCTATTGACATTATTTGGGTGTTTTTGTGTGAAATTTGTATTTTAATATTTCATTTATATTATTGATCAATGCTCTTGATCAGTATCTCTCGGTGTCCAACATAGACAATATATCTAACGTGTCGTGTTTGTGTGTACATAGATGGAATCTCAAAAGTTTCTGGGCGAGAACAGCGCGGCGGTGTACATAGCGCGCGTGGAGGCGCGCATCGGCGAGGAGGCGGAGC